TTTTTTTTTCTTGGGACAAAACCGTTATGGGTACTATCAGGAAGCGAAGAAGTGCTTTGATCTGGTTAATGCGGTATAAGTTGGTTCAAGGGGCGCATAAAAAGCTCTTGATATAAGGAAAGCAAAATTATGAGAGATAAGAAAGCGTCTGTTAATCGGAGACCCGAAGTCTTCCATAGTCTCCGACCTGAATCACAAAAAATACAAATTTTTTATTCTCATAGGTTTTAAAAACGAGTTTGAATGAATGTATATGAATTTGAATTCGCGCAAATGGTGGCTCAAGCCTTGGAGCAGACATGTGAGCACGCTAATTATATGATAGCTAGTTATCGAAGACGATTGTATAACGAGCATTAGAGAAGAACGGATTAAAACTAGGATATCTCGAATTCCAGGACCGCCACGATATGCTCTTTCTTCTCCCCAAAAAACGGTTCTAGCTTGCCTCGAGAGACCTGCCGCCGAATCTCTCTTCTATTTCCAGTATATCTCAAAAAATTCTTAAGGTCTGCTTGAGATATTCAATTATAAGTAAATTTTGGATATTTTCCATTAAAGTAGGATAACAATATGAATGTGGTTGTGGCTTTTGCTACTGAAGCGCAATTGGTTGGCCCAAAAATAGTTTTAACAATGCTCGGAACGTTATACGTTGAAGCTATACTTGGATACATTACTCATTTATGGTATCGTTTGAAACCGTAGGTTTCTTTCTTTCTTTGCAAAACTTCCTGCAAATGCAAAAGGGCAGCTCTATTCCTAATCCAATTGCAACGGAAGGAGACAAGAGTGCCTCGCAGAGCTCAAATTAATATGGGTTGAACAGCTTTGAATAGAGCAACCAAACCTAAGACGTTTTAGAATAATTCTTGCTAATACTTATTTTCAATCTAATTATCTCGTTTGTATTAACCTACATTACCTATAGAAATGAGCCAGTCGCGCTGTGGTGTGCCGATAATGCTCCTCTTCTTTCTCTGACAATACACGATCGCAGATCTTCTCAAGGCTGTCAACTCTTTTTGATTTCCCTGAATAAAAAGTCAAGCTTAATCGATCAGAAGAAATTTCTTCGACAATATCACGACAACCGTAAATTTTGATGAGCTCATCATAGATAGATGCTTTCTCCTGTGGACGTATATGGAGAAAAACGGAGAGATCGAGCAAAGACTGCATTACTGAGTGCTGAAAAAACTAATATGTTGCCTGTTAAACTGTAATTTGTACCTCCTTATCTAATGACAATATAAGCTAACCGTTTTCAATCTTGCGGCTAGATCCAATATGAAATGAAGATAATCGATTTTTAGTGGGTTACCCTAGAAGCCACTCCGTCTCCAAGGTAAATTTAACATGCGAAGAAAGTCTACCTGCGTATGCTCCAAAAATTCTGCTTCTCGACCTAATTCCAGCAAAATGAAGCCCTTCATCTGGTGAAAGGTCGCAGGAGGGACTTCCGACGAGAAAGTGCTTTCTACTAAAAATGGGAAAATGATTTTTGAGATGAATCCTATTCAAATTTAGCATTATATAAATAACTTTTCCAATAAATTTTCTAGGTGAAATCAAAGCGGCGCTGCTTTGGCTTCCGCGCAATCGCCAGCTCGATTTGCAGTGCCTGCGCCAAATCGAACACGGCGCGGGTTATTTGCCTTGTGGTGCGGTATATGCGCATCCATAGGTTAGATACATAGAGCCACGGCTCTGGTCACCTTCACTAATGAGCCAAGAAAGAGTAGGGTGTGAGGAGTAAGTGTTGAGGCTCTATAACTATTTCTTTCAATGCAGTTGATGTGTCTAAAAACTTCGAAAAGCATGCATCGTTGAAAGTAATCGTTATTATGATTAGGAGTTGAACTCTAGAAGTATGCACGTCAAATAGCCTTGAGTAGTGAAAGACAAGAGAGTGCAGAGAATAAGTCGTTATGGTGGAAATTATGAAAGTTGCGCAGTAATCAACTGAATTTTCCATATGATTCAGAGCAAAATGATATATGGATGTTGGGGGTTTCGTAAAGTAGGAGCCAAGATAAGCCACCAGAGCCAAATGCCCCGTCGGCTCTGGTCGTTCTCTGCCGCTTCTCAAAATTGCACACTCTCTAC